TATTTCTATCGAATCAGGAAAATATTTTATTCTAAATTAATCGTATTGATAAAAATTTCGATATAATTCTAATTTACGACAAGGCACAATTAAGTTTTTAAATATTTATAAAAAAATATATACACCTAAAAACAGGGATTTTAACAAAACGAATTTTTTTATTTTTTATTTGCAACAAAAAAATTTAAATTATTAATTTACTTCCTTCTCTCTCTATTATTTTGACTCGATAAGATCTTATCTCTGGATGACGTCGTAAGCTAAGATTATACCGTAAAGATTTTTTAAGGCATTTATTTAATGTTTTTTATATCTCTAATTTTTTTATTTACTTTTAATTTATATATATCATTTTTTTATATTATTTCTATTTATATAATTCACGTGGGATCGTACAGAAATTTTGTTTAACTGTTGAAGAAAAGATGACTGCACGATAAAACTCATTTTTCGATTCAATTATTCACGTACACAAAACGAAAGTAGAAGCAACAAATTCGTTCGAAAGTAGACGCCTACGTAAGGAGATGTGCTAGGAACAGGTAGAAAACTTCCTTATAAGTCTAATTTATAAGAAACAGATTTTGTACAATTTCTAGTGTTTTTAATACAATTTCTGCTTTCGAATGTCATCTTATGAATCTTATATCACATTCGCGGGGCTGGCCGCACCATCTTGTAAATATCATACAATCCCAAGATAAGTCGTTTCTGCATTTCACCAAACGTTATCTGTAGGTCCCCTGGATCTTTCCTTCCCTCTCTTACTCTCTCTTTCTCCGCGATATATATATATTTCTCTCCTTCTTTTTTTTCTTAAAGATATATACACATAGACAACACACATATTTATATATATTATACATATAAATACACACATACACACGATACACATATACGTATAACACACATGTATGTATACCTATGACTATACTATGTACCGTACTACTATCGTGTGAAAGATATATCACACTCTGTGCTATCATTCAATCTATCTTTACTGTCTTTACATGTCTTTAACGACGTAGACGATATTAGTTAGCGAATAAAAATATTTATAATTGCTCTCTTGGAAAGGAGAACGAAAGTTGCAAGAATAAATGTACGGAGGATCCAGAGTAAAAAATAGACCAACTTCATATAATATTCATGTATCATTTTTTACTTAAAATATACATATAATACCTACACTGTTGTCAAAGTGCATTAGTGCTTTATTAATATTAATTTTTCTTTTATTATCAAATTCATATATGAGGCAAATTTTCTGTACGCAAAAAAAATCCTCGGTTTCCACTTCGCAAAGTAGAGGAAAAAAAAAGATACTGCCCAGCAAACATCAAATAATTTATATAACTGTTAGTTATAATTTCCCACTTGACAATAGAATTGTTACATGCTATATAACTGTTATATAACTAATATACATAACATGTAACAATTATATTGTTTAGTAGGAAATCATAACTAACAATTATATAAATGTTACTTGATGTTTGCTGGGTGAAGCTTTACTCTGGTTTGCATATGCATCTTTTGAAAATACATGTTAATTATAGAATATTACTTCAATAATTATCTAGTCGTAGAAAAGCCACATATGGATATTTTGAAAAAATTCGTGAATTTGGTCTGAATTTGACTCTGACTTTGACTTTTCGCATACGACTACGAAGTCCGCCTCATCGACGATCTTCAACTGTGTGTGAAAGGATAAAAGTAAATTACGTACAAGATAGTCGGTGTGCGTGTGCGTTTCTTAGAAAACAGTTTTGCGAATTAAGATTACGAAAAGGGGCGGTTCTCTATAGACAGCGAGAAAACTGTGGTAAATCCGCATCGTCGCTCCATTGCAAAACCGCTTCCGAAGTTATACATTTAAGAATAGTGAACTGTTATATATACGACGAGAAAAGTACAGGAAGCTATCGTCCTAAATCGCGCGAGTACTGTTAATATTTATTGCGGAGAACATCCGAATTTCAAGCTGAACAACGACAATTTTTGTTCAATGGACGAAAGGAAACTCTTGCAATCGAAGAGAGAAAAGTCAACATGTCAGTACAGACCATTATTGTTACATTGCAGCAATATTGCTGCAATGTAACAACATTCTGTCTTGATTTAAGATAGCTGTTTCGAGATAACATGATTCTGTAATTAAATTAAACGACGGGAAAAAAGTAATTTAAGTAAAATTTATGTGAGATAAAAAAATGTAGAAATTTAATTTGAAAAGAATTTTAAAAATTAATTTTATTACACGAATATTCTTAACGAGAATCCAATTTCAAACAAGCAATATATCGATCAGAAATATCCAATTGTGTTAGTGGATCATGCGATATAGGACGATTAGTTTGACGTTAATTAAAGGCTGCGTCGAGTAGCAGACGCAGAGAATGTTGTATGTGAGTTTTATACCGTATAAGCGAAACATACATACTGCTCGCCAGTAGACGTACATACATATGTATATATGTATTGTTATGTTATTGCCTAATAACTACGAAATAGAACGTTATGAGAATTATATATAATCCATATTCCTTTCTTTTCCTCTCATTTTATCCTGTTATCTAAATATTATTATGTACAAATATAAAGAAAAAGATATATAGAAACACCCACGTTGCAAATCAACGATCATATGCAACTGTCAAATATGTACATGGATCTCATAAAATGATACGACGAAAAAGAGAATTTTATCTAAAATTAATTGTAAATCTGGCCCTTCTTTGTACATATTATTTCGTTATAAAAATAGAAATATTATTAATATCATTCAGCCAAAGATTACGAAATTAATAGATTTATTTTTTGAACGATAATTTTATCTAACACGACGGTTACAATTATCACTTTCAACATTATGATTAGTCGGTATTTGTGTAATTAATTGATAAATATTATTTATGAAATAAAGATAAGGATTAGTCGGTATTTGTGTAATTAATTGATAAATATTATTTATGAAATAAAGATTAGGATTTAAATATCTTTTCTCTTTAAAATATCGAATTTAATTTAAATTTTGTTAAAACGTATTTAAAAAAATATATAATAAACAAATATATGTTTTATATCTGCCAATATAAAAAATATAAAAAGCATTCTACATTTTTCCGCTTTTCAAAAATATTTTATTATTTTTACTACATTTTACTATCACTTAAATTGTCTTAATGTCTATGTATTATTAAAACGGATTTTTTAACCTTTTATTGTTTACTTTTATTTAATTTGTATAATTCCGGACTAATAATGCTCTCCAGCTCTCTATGCCTGTTTGAATGTTTTTAATTTTACTATCAGTTTAACATGATTAATGAATAATTACAATTTTTCAACATTGCCTCAATCGGAACCTGTAAAGCCATAACGATAATGTGTCACATGTAGTCGAAAATTGTAACGCTATAATATCGCCAGTTATAACATTATTGATGTAATTAGATGCTGTTACAGTACACTGCGTCCTAATTAGGGAGCGTAATTCTTCAATATTATTGGTACTTGCGCCAGTTTATATGGGAACATGATCAATATTATGTTTATATGTTTCATATTTTGTACGTGTGTACGTGAACACACTCATATTAATTGCATCATTATTTGTCACATACCATATGCTTCTGAATCGCAAACGATAAATAAGAAATTGGCTGATATCGATCACGGTTATCAACACGTAGGGTGATTATTGTATTATCATTAAAGAGTTTTTCGTGTACATTCCATTTTATACACAAGATTCGGCGATAGTGTCAGTTTTTTAATCTATTCGCCGATATAGGAATCTATCATATATTGGAATGTATAAAATAACTATAATTCATAATTTATATTTACATACATTTCATAATTTTAGCTTGTATTATTTGTTATTTGCTATCGGTTTCCTCTCAAGGACGATGACTGACGTGAAAATTTTATAAACTATAATTTATATATTTTATATATTTTATTATTAACTATAAATTAATTATAATTCAATTATAATTAAAACATATATTGACATATTTAATTAATTTAAAAAATTTAGTAACTGAAGATTTATACTTGATTCTTTAGTTCAAATTAAAATAGCAGTGTATATATTTACAATGTATATATTTACAGCAAGTATATATTTACAATTCATTCCTCGAATAAAGTATCGATATATTTATCTGCGTTATTACTTTGTTTTTCATCGCATGATTAATTAATGCATATAGCATGTCATTTTTTTAATAATAATTAAGATAAGTTAAATAAATCGTAATGATTTGATAGGAGACAAATTTACTTTTATATATTTTTAATGAACAAATATGACGAAAGCAAACGTTACAAATTAATCTTAAAACGTATCAAGAGATAAAATAAATTCAATTATGATTTTAAATCTTTCAATCAAATTCGAGATCAATGTTTGTATCATATAACGTATTTTTAACGTAGACACTACGTTATGTGAAATAATAAATCTGATTACTTTTGGTAAATCGTTATCACGAAATAATAATTAACACAGCCGATAAATCGACTAGCGTCTGCAACAATCGCATCACGTTACAACAGTTGCAACGGGAAATGCGATATCGTTCATTACTACGTTCTCGAATATCGAGAATCGGGCAAAAAAAACAAAGATATGATAATATTTTTTTGCGGCCAAAAGAGATAAAACAGGAATTAACCCTTGACGTTTCACGACGATTCAGTCGTCGCGCTATTTTTCTTCCCATTTTTAAAGTACAATAAAAAAAAAAGAGAGCAGATACGCGATGCAATATACATGTGATATTAAAGAATTACCACTCTGTTCTGCACGCAAACTATGTGATCTGCACGTCGCTGCTATCGGGATATAAACAAAGACTTTTTCTTTGAGAATATAACTATCAGTTCTTGGCCGAGTGATTGATAGAATAGGGATGTTGAATATCCCTACCCTAAATCATAACTACATCGACAGCGACAGGCGGGGCTGCCGACACCGATAACATAGTTATCTATTGTGTAGACTGTGGAAGTTTTCGCGCACCATTTTTTCGTCGTTCACGACGAGACGATGTCGGACGTATTGAAAAACATTTAAATATTGATAAATATATTTGTAAAATATTAAAATTGATTGTGATCAAGCAGGAGTATAATTAATCAGCAAACAATCATCGAGGAAAGCTCAGGTTTAATGAGAATCGTCTCGTCCCAGGTGAGTTTCTTCAGGAAGAGATAAGTATTGTGATATTACAATAAATCAAATAAATTTGGATGATAAATTAACTAATTTTTTTTACCTCATTCAAGAATATTAAGATGTATCTTTAGTAAAATACAAATAAAATTTAATACGAAATGAATATATTTTTTCAAAAATGTGTTTTTTTTAACTATATTTTTAATTATCTCTTAAGAAGTATTTTTTTTTTATTTTTATACATATTATTAAAAATTCTATACTTTACTGTCAATATTTTTATCATTGTAAGTCTTCTTAAAAATTCTAATAATAAAAATTCTAATTCTAATATTTTCTGATAAATAGAGAATTCTAATAATATTTTCTAGTAAATAGAGAAAACAAATTTTAAATATCAATTTATAATTTTTATCATTGTAAGTATCCTTAAAAATTCTAATGATAAAAATTCTAATTCTCTAATATTTTCTAATCAATTTTTGTAACATTTTATAGCAAATAGGGGAAACAAACTTTAAGTATTTTCATTGTTTTTAATAATATAAAAGTCCATATAAAAAAAAAGTTATTGTTTTCAATCATGTATTTCTTGTAATGGATAATTTTTTTTAAATTTATAATTAACGAGTTTTCTATCTTTATCATAATTTTTGCATTTCTATCCATAAACTACTTGCTTTTCTATACTCGAATAAAAAATACATTGCAAGAGTATGTTCTCTAGAACAAACTTTAATTGCAAATAAAACAATAATATATTTTTATCAATAAATATTAGTAATAATATAATTAAAATATAAAATATTATGAAAAAACTTCTACGGAAAAATGTAGATTATACTGAATCTCATTACAGTTCTGATCTAATCTATAACATATAATATATAATACAAACTATAGCTGTATCGTACAGATATTGTAAAGATGCGCAAATTTTTTCGATAAATTTGTTATAAGTAAATTACTAGTTAATAATTGCTAATTTTGAGATTGCTTTATTTCGTCTGAGATCATCGTACTAACATCGAATAAAGCTTTCAATTTGCCTCTCCTCGAAAATTGCAGATTGAGGCTTTATCAAATTTAATACGCCATGTTAACGCTTATACGCTACGTCGCATTGATAAGCGCTTTAGGACTTTTGATAAGCGACGTGGATAGCAAGGAGCTTGCGGATAGAAAATGGTGGGAAACTACGTTGGTTTATCAGATTTGGCCTAGAGGATTTCAGGACAGCGATGGCGATGGCGAGGGCGACCTGAAAGGTAGGTCACACAAATTGCTTTAAAGCCGGAAATTAAGCTTTCATCGGTCATATATAACTCTATAAGATATTATTGATATATTCATATACATTAACGTATATATAATACACTATAAAAATATTTTAATGCGTATATTGCTAAATATAGCTTTAATTAATTCAGCAAACAATTAATTCGCAGGTATTATTAATCGACTCGATTATCTCAACAATCTCGGAATCGAGACAATTTGGTTAAATCCTATTTACCCGTCGCCATTGATCGATTCAGGATATGATGTCTCTAATTATACGGACATACATCCTCTTTTCGGGGATTTAAATGTTTTCGATAATTTCATACAAGAAGCACACAATCGAGGTAGAATAATGTACAATTAAAATCTTATGATTTTTCCAATTTTATTGTCATTTATTTTTAGAAACAAAGATACTGTTCTGATTCTTGATAATTTAAATCTCTTTTATATTTTACACGTATTTTATAATAATGAAAGTAAATCTGAAAGTTTTTTCAGTTTGAAAAACTTTTATGTAAAACATTTTCATTTGAATTAATTTTCATGTAAAAATTGATGGTTATTATTAAACTATAAAAGTTAAAGTATAACTTGTATTTTAATTTTCATTTTATATTTAAATTTAAAAACTTTATATTTAAGTATAACTTTGTATTTTAATTTTTATTCTTTTAATTTTTATTCTTATAATTTTTATTATATTTAATGATTTTATATTATATTTAATGACTTTACTGTTAATTTCTTATAGGATTAAGAGTCATTCTAGATATCATTCCAAATCATTCCAGCGATCAACACGAATGGTTTCAAATGTCGGCACAAAATATTGAGCCGTACACTGACTATTATATTTGGACTGATGGCAGAATTGATAAAAATGGCACAAATATTCCACCGAATAACTGGGTATATTTTTGCCAGTTTTATTGTTTTATTGTTTTATTGATATAGTGTTATTCCAACAATTTTTTTAAGCAAACTTAGAATTTTTTTATACAACAGAAGCTAGTAATAGTAAAATGTTTAAAGTCGAATTATGCATGAATTTCTTGATATATTTTTACACGATAAACTTTTTACGATAAATTTTTTTTTAATTATTGACATCCAATTTATAAACAACATTAAAGGAAATATATATTTTATTTAAAAGAAAAATATTTTTTTTATTATTTTTTTTATAGATAAGCGCATACGACGATAGTGAAGGATCTGCATGGACATGGCATAAGGAAAGACAACAATGGTACTATCATAAGTTTCATGATTCTCAACCGGATCTTAATTTAAGAAACGAGAAAGTGATCGAAGAATTGATGGTAATATGTTTATTTAATATATAAATAACAGAATATTTTTTATATTTTTAAATTTAAAAATTGCATACATCTAAATTAAAAATTGCGATAAAAATTGAAAAGAATACTGACAAGAATAAAAAGTTAAAATATAAAGTTTTAATTTTTTTAGAACAAATTATAATTTTTTAAATAATTTAGTAAGATAAAGTTTTTTAAATCCAAAACAACTTATTATTAATTAATAATTCCAATAAATTTAAGAAATATTAAAAAGCAAAAAAATTAGTATTACTTTTTTTGTTTTAAATTAAAGAAATATTTAATCAATATGTATATGACTTATATTAATATATTAAATAATATATTAATATATAAATTATTAATATATTAATATATAAATTCATCAATAATTCATCATTAATCAATAATTAAGATGTATACCTTTTCAATTTTTATTTTAAAAAATAAGCGAAGACTGTAACATTTATTTTTTGTCATAAATAATTAATTTTTGTGAATAGGACATATTTGACTTTTGGTTAAAAAGAGAGGTTGATGGTTTTGTAATTAACGCGGTACCGTATTTTTTCGAGGACGAAGCCTTAAAAAATGAATCCAAAAAAGGCATTTATACCTTTGGTCTTTCCGAGAGCACTGCTCTTCTTTATACATTTCGTAAATACATCGATGATTGGGTATCGATCCATAATAAAACATCAAAGTATGATATATTAAATATTTTCAAGACCAGTTATTATTGTTAATATATCATATTATTATAACACTACATGTGCATTATGTTTACATATAAAAAAGAATTTCAATATATTAATCTTTACTTCAGTATATTAATTTTAATAATTTAATATGAAACTCATGATTTGATAATTATAATTATTAGGTTGTTAATCGCGGAATCATATGATATTACTGACGATAATTTAATAGCATATTATGGAAATAGCACGCACAAAGGAATTCTACCTTTCAATTTTAAATTTATTACACAAATTCGTAATAGCAGTAGTGCTAGTGATATCAAACGTATCTCGGATGAATGGATCGAACTTCTTCCAGAAAATTCTAATACCAATTGGGTGGTAAGAATAAGCACTGAATTAAAAATAATTTTATTAGAATTAAAGACAACATTTGAAATTATTTTATTTTTATTCTTGTATTATATTATTAGATATTTAAAAGATTTGTATATTTATTTTTTACTGCATTAATATAATTTAAAAAACATATAAATATTAATTTGATGTAGGTTTTTGATGTTATTTATGTGTAACTATTTTTTACAATGCAGCTTTCAAATCATGATAATTCGAGAGTAGCCTCGAGAATCGGTTTCAATCGAGTTGACGGCCTTCATATGCTTAGTTTGCTTTTACCTGGACAAGCATATACATATTATGGCGAAGAAATAGCCATGTTGGATACGAAGATAAGTTGGGACGAAACCATCGATCCCATGGGATGTGCCAGAGGCATAAACAACTATGAACATTTCTCGAGGGATCCAGCGAGAACTCCCATGCAATGGAATTCTGAAATTTCAGCTGGTTTCTCAAAAAATATAACTACGTATCTCCCTGTTTATGATTATATCAACAATGTGGAAATGCAACAAAATAAAAGCCAGAGTAATTTAAAGACGTATAAAGAACTGGCTATTCTGAGAAAGAAACCAGTTTTTAGAAATGGAGCTTATGAGCTTAAAAGTTTGAACAATGATCACGTGTTGCTGTTAAAAAGGTTAGAGAAATATATATAATGTGCATTATTAACATAAATAATTTTATTTTTTCGAAATTATATATATTATTTATAAGCTATTTTATTTCTCTAAATTTTATTTAAAATTTTTTTCAAAAATTTATATTCTTTGTATATGCATGTAAATTATATAAAAATTTACAAAATTCATTTAAAATACTGCAATTATTGTTAATTATTTTTGTGATTAACAATTAGATTCTTGGAAAATTATCCAGAAGAGCTATACATTATTGTAATTAATTTGGGTTTGCGGCGAGAGAAGATTAATCTGACCTCTGTATATCCTAATTTAGATGAAACTTTAGAGATTGTTGTAGCTTCTAGCAATGCAATTCGCAACACGTAAGTTTCATTACATAATGTACAAATACTGCTAAATAATTTCTACATTTTAAAATCAATCTCTCCTATTAAAAAATAATACATTTTATAAGTTTTATTAAAATAATTAAAAATAAATTAATTTTTAGCCAATCTAAAATTAACTTTTTTTTATAAAAATATTGCATTTAATAAATTTTATGACAAATTTAAACGTAAATAAGTTATCAATTTTTTTCAGATAAATTTTAGAAATATTAAGTAATTTTAATATTTAAATTTTAATATTTTTTTTACTTTTATTTTTACGAAGAATTATTTTTTTGTTGTATAATATTACAGTTTTTCCTCCTTCTTTCTCTGATTCATCCTGTATTGCATATATGTATAATAATAATAATCTGTCTCAATTATTTTATTCGGTTTTCGCGAATTACTTTGTAAATTAACATATGTTTTTAGAAATGGTGTTCCACGGGATAATTTTGTATTAACGGCAAACGCCGCATTTGTTTTAAGAGGTCAAAAAGAAAATGAACAGACTTCGACTGAATCCAGCACAAGTGCGTACTTTTTAATTAATCACACAATCATATATCATTTATCAGTCTCGTTAAAATGACAGTAATTACAGGTCTTATCAATATAGTCAGTATATATATCAATCATTATAAATATTATTTTAGCGGCAAGAAACGATACATCTTCCATAACCGAGACAACCAATTCTACTGAAAGCACGACGCAAAATGGAACAGAATCTGATAATGCAGCGTCAAATTCTACACCTATATTTCAAATAATAATAAGTGCCATTATAATTGTAATAGCACAAATTTTATAATTAATATAAGCAAAAAATAAAAATGTATATAATAAAAATAGACTAAATATATACATACAAGACGCTAATCAGATTCTTGACATAGTGTTTTAGATTCAGCATTCCAGATCACTTATCTCTCACTTATAAACAATTCAATTTGGAAACTTTTTTTTTAAAAAAATATCGAAAAAAATATTCATCTGCTTTATAAATTTTTATAATTAATTCTGAAGAGTTCAAGAAATCCTCTTTATCTAATTCTTAAAAGTTTTAAAAAATTCTCTACATATGTTTATTACACTTATAAAATTAATTCACAAAAATGCTACATATTTTAAATCATTTATAATTTAAGAATTATTAATAATATCATATTGATTTTTCAACATCTTTATATATTTATTAAGGAGAAATTAATCATTATATAAAAAAATATTAGGTATATAGGTCACGATACTTAAGTAAGATAAGATATTGATAATGATAGATATTGATAAAAACTATTATCTAATAAATGTAATATAATCCAAAACTTCTAATAAATTGAAACATGCATATAATTTAATTAAAATTCATTTTGTTATAATTAACAGTTTAATCCTTAGTAGCTTATGAATCTCTCTGAATGGAAAGTGATTCGAATTGAAAATAATAAAAAAAATCATCTATCATTGTCAATAATAATGCAAAGCAGAAACTACTTTAAATGATAAATGGTGATTTACATGAACTAAAAAAACCTAACAATAAGCAAATATTCCTGGAAATCATTCGAGGCCATCAGGTGCATAACAAACGCGTGTTTATAATAATGATATTTATGCAATAAATATGCTTAGTGATCTATTCTTTACAAAGACGTCGAATCGATATCTATGTATTTAAATTAAATTGTATTTAAATTAAATCTCTGAAAAGAAAAAATCCAGCTCCAGCAGATTTCAGAATGTAAAGTGTAGTGTAATTTATAATGATTAACGCGAAAAAATATAAAAAAATATTGTATTTTAAATTGCGTCTTTCTGTAAATTTTACAATCCGCTGACAGATGACTTTTAATGTTATATTTAGTGTTATCGAAAAAAAGTGAGCTTGACCCTAAGAATTGATTGCTCCATTTATACGTATGTAATCCAATTATCTGTATATTCCAATTATCAGTATATATATATTCGTTCAATAAGAATAAATGACAGATAATTCCGGATGGCTACAATAATGTACAGTTAATTAATAACGGTTTTTTCATACTCTTGCTGCTTATCTTTTGCATATACCGCTATCTTTATTCATACTATCATTTACGCAAATAATTCTCTCACATAATTCGACCTGAAATTTTTGCAAAAACAACGATATTTATGTCGAGAGGCTCATAAATATCGAAAAAAAGCAAAATAAAGAGGTTCAATTAAAAGCATTTGAAGATTTCTAAGAGAGTTCTCTGTTATTGTGTTACTGTGTATATCAAGGAAAATATTAAAATGAAGCTACAAGAAAAATCCACTTTTGCTCAGAGAAACCTGGTTTATGACACCATCCCTCTTATTATTATCGATAAAATGGAAAGGAAACATATCCGAGGTTCGTAAAGTTTCGTGATACTATCCAATTAAATTTCTCTTTCTCTCTCAGAAACAATAAAACGAGTAATTCTTAATCTGTATAACTCCCTAATTTGTGAGAAATTAATTAATTAATTAATTTAAAAGATACCAAACATCGTATATCTTTTATTTGCAAATTATTTTAAATGATCTGTAAATTTATTTGTAAATTATTTTAAATTATTTGTAACTTATTTTAAAATAGCATTAAATACTTTATAAATATTTGATAACGAGAGATATATAAATATGTATACATATATATAAAATAAAAATATAATGGACTTTTTTAAAAATAATATTGGGTGCATTAAAATATATTATATCGTTCTCTTATTTTAGATAATAAAGAAACTCTGAAATATTATTACGTTTCTAGTCCTTTTTGGATGAAGTTCCGCTTATTACTATTTTGGACATTGTGGTTTATGTTGATTGTAGCACTGACGCTCTGTATTCTCACGTATTTTTGTTTCATACCTCGAATGTGTTATAATTCAAACGTACACAAAAACATAAACGGCAGAGTAAGTATCAAAAATGAGACTCATCAAATATACAGAATGTTCAAAAATTCATGGTATTCATGGCATTTTGTGTATATTAGACTTTTTCGTTTATTTTATATATGCGTATGAAATTTGTGTCATAAAGTTTTGAACATATTTTTAATATTTTCCCCTTTGTATAAAAATATATGGTTTTATAAAATCCTTTTATTCCGTTATACAACTTTTATCAAGAAACAAATTTTGTGGAATTTAATGTATTCAGTCAATATTCAAGTAATTTACATGAATTTACATGAATTTAATGAAATTGATAATCTATTTCTATCTCTTGATTTATAGGAATTAATATTGTTTCAATGTACTTTTCTTCTAAATTCGATTCTTTTTAAATAAAACAATACACTCCTATTATATTTTTAATATATTAATGTATTTTAAATGTGTATGTTTCAGTAAATATACATCATTTCAAAAAAATGCAGTGGCATCATAAATGTCGAGTATTATAATAATTTGAATATTATTATATATGTTTGTACTGTATAAATGTAAGAATTAAATTGTTACATATATATTTCTTGTCAAAAGAGATTATAATTTTACTCTCTACTGTTAACTCTTTACAATATTTTCCACATTTTCATGGAATTACTTTTCTAAATTTTTAAATACTATATATTTTTATAACTAATATTTATACAATTTCAAAAACGTAGTTATTTAAAAATTTAGAGTTATTATTTACATAAAATGTGAAACTTTTCGTAAAACTATCGTAAAAATTTTCTAGAAATTATATGTAATTGTATATATTATAAAATGCAATGATAAAAATTAAACACAACAATAATAAAAATAAAAATATTATATTCTAGTGATGATAATAAAATAAGTAAATCATAGTTTTGTTTTTAAAAACAGAATTAAAATATTTAAAATACACTTTGATTTTATTGTATTTTTTTTCATAAATAGTAAAGATTTAATTTACTTTCAAATTTTATTTTTAGTGAATTTTTAATTTACTCTAATAATAATATATCAAAATCTCTTTACGTTAATTTTATTTATAGAATTATGAAATGACGTATTGTGAAATATACAAATGTGAAATATATATTTTACACATGAAAATTAATGCATCTCTCTCTCTCTCTCTCTCTCTCTCTCTCTCTTTCTCTCTCTCTCTCTCTCTCTCTCAAAATCTGTCTATTTGATTTAATTCTAAAATTTATCAATTTTGTTTCACAAGTATACTTTTATTTTTTACTTATTAGCCATTTTACTTATAAGATATTTTTACATTTGTATGAACAATTACATCTCGCATATAAAATTTTTATTCCTGTTCGTTTTATTACAACTAACTCATAACTATTACAACTAACTCACTATTCTGTCCAATAATCTATATAATTTTGAAAAGTAAAAAATAAATCTTGCAATTTAAACTTCTTGTTTAGTAATCGACTGTGATCTTTTCAGAGTTGATTGCGATTCTCGATTTAATTTTCCTTGAACTAGAGTTGTTGAACTCAACATGACAGAAATTTGTTCTGGTAAAGGACATGCAATCAACAAAAGCTCTTCCGCATTATAATACTTATTCAATATTTGATGCAATTGCGTAAACGCGGCACAAATGTTATTTTTTACAGGTTTAAATAAAATAAATTCAGTTTCTTTATTAGCCAAATATAACTGCATCGATTGTTGTATCTCGGGACATTTAAACTTGATTATCCTTAAAACATCAACTATTATATCTGCCACTTCCTTTGCATTTCCTAGTGAATTTTCCTGACTGGAATTTACATCGTGCAATCTGTCCTTTTCCAACAACTTGATAATGGGACTAATCAATAAATAAGTTGCGTGTTGTATCAATTGTTGACATGTAAACTTTAACTTTGCATCCACATGTTTTCTCGAATCGATGAGCTGTTCTTTCATCTGTGGTGCACCTTCCAAGAGAAACTGTAACAATGCATTGTTCGATAAAGTGAAGAGCCTGGAACTTTTCTCAAGCAGCCCAAACGCAGCGGTCTTCACTTTGGAAAAGTCCAAACTATATTCCTTGATAGTAAAGTCAACTTGAAACGGTGCAATCTGCTCTCTAAGGATCAGCAAGTGTTTTATCTGAAACAATTCCGCGTCCAGAGTGCTCGCTCTCTTCTCAATTTCTTGCCTGGCATTCTCGATGCTTTGGACACAAAGGGAAATTGCCTCCTGGCTCAACGACTGGAATACAGACCTATCCACGCAGCGATAAAGCCTTGACAAACACACCAGAGTCCTGCGAACCGTGGGATACCACATGGCATGTAAGTCTGCTGGAGAACTTCCCATGTGTGTCTTTTGATAAATGGAATCGATGACTATATGATTCCTAGAGACTGGTTCTAGGACAGAACTGTCAGCTGATGACACTGAAATCTTCTTCATGCGAGTCTGGCGAGTCTCTTCTCTAATCGACTCCGCTATGTCCTCCATCATCTTCAATTTTTCTGGATACGCCAAGTCTCCTGACGAAGGATTGTAGTTCAACACGTCAGACTGCAAATATAAGTGTGCACGAAATACCAATCTCTCCTGCACATCGTGTAACAGTTGCAAGCATATGTTTCCAAAGCCTTCCAATGGTTCAAAATTATTTTGTACATATTCGTCCAGCATTTCTATTCGTAAAATACAGCAGATTTCTGCCAATGTCTCGAGATGATTGATGTGAATTATAAAAGGTCGTAATGCATCATACAGCGATGTGCACAAACTCTCCAAATAGGCGGTCAGCCCGCTCGATTGCTTCGAAAAAAATTCATAAAAGAGTTTATGTTCATCTATGGATGCGTGCAAAAGCAGCGCACAAGAGTGTCGTACCAAGCTACAGTGGTCACCGTTGTATTTCTCTCTGACAGAATTCAAAGACTTTTGTATACTTGCGCCCAACACTAAACCTCGCTGACTCCAATAATACTGATGACACTCGAGCAACAGACTGTCATACTCTTGCCTCTTATACGATTTGCTTTCAATCTGCTCAATGACTGGTTTTGTCTTGGACAAAATTGTCTGAAATCTACCATAGAATAAAGCGAGCGCTGTGTCTGGATTTCCCGAGCTCTCACCGTCCTTCAAATTTAAAATGCTCTCTGTGGTTTTAGAAAATAGATTAAAAATATAATTCTGTATCAACGTGATTGCTTTCGACTGGCAATGCCTGTATCGTACCAAGTAAACTCCACTTTCGCTGTACGACGAATTACTCTGCATGAAATCTATATTCGTATCAATTTTGTCTAATATAGAGAAAAACATTTCGCTATTAATCAACAATGTGGGTGCATCCAGCTTTTCTGTGATCATATTGATCTCCTTGAAATACTTAACATATTCCGTAATACTGTCAATCGTGGCGTTCAGCTGCTTCTGATCAGAAATAAGCTGCTCGCTAGCGTCGTACAGAGAAGTGGTTTTGGCAGAAACCTCGTTATACTGTTTATAGAGCGCAGAAAAGTCATCCAACGCCTTCTCTATCTGGCAACAAACCTCGTGGCACTCAGACCTCCTTGATTTCAGCTCCTCGAGGTAACGATTGTACTTCATATCATACATGGACATGTATTTCCTCTCCAAGGACAAGTAACGCTGAAGTAACTCCTGATACCTTTCTATCGGAAGAATGTTTTCCTGGGGATCCTTTTGCAATTTCTCTTCATCGCTATGGATTACATTGCTTTGCAGATTCGATGAGGGGAAGTACGAAGATATCGCATCCTCTAGATTCGTTAAGCAGTCCTTTTGACATACTGTCAATGGGGCCAAAGGATTGTCACTCTGGTCCCATTGAACAAGGTTATGCGGAATTGCTCTTGTCTTAGACATGTTTTTACGATAAGATTATTCAAAAATCAACATAATCGTGCGTATGATACTTATTTTAATTAAGATCACAGTTTCCCAAAATTGTCAATTTAAGTGGATTTACTTGACAAATCGCTATAAAAATTCAGTAGAAATTGCTAGCAGAGAGAAGACTGAGAAATGTCATGGCCTGCTTTTCGGTGATCCCTGAAAGCGATACTCCCTCTATGAACATTGAAAACGTGGATATGAACTACAAAACCAATGTCCATGAATGTTCTCAGAGGGTAATATATAATGTGCACAATTTCTGGTTTCGTTCTGTGCTATGTGCACGAAATGTCGGTAGCACCAGAGTATAACAAGACACTTATGTATATAAATTGATGTATTTTACAATTAAAATATCAATGTTAGATTATAATTAAAATACAATTATAACTATTTATAATTTACAATTTACAATTTACAAATTTATGATGCTATATAAATATCAAATAATAATATTCGATTTATTCAAATATTTAATAACATTGATATAATAATTTGATATTGATAGAATTAATTTTGGATTTAATATTATATTTGATTTAATACACATATATTTTTAAGGTTTATAATAAGGTTTATAAATAAAATATAACATGTTATGTTATGTTATTTCTTAAACGTTAATAATTATGCAATTTCTTTAATATTTCTGAAGAATTTTGATAATTTAAATTTCATTTTTAAAACATTTTTATTTTTAAAACATGTTATATTTATTTTTACAACGTTTTTAAAAATAAACTCAACTTAATTAAAATAATTTTAATTAGGATTATTGAAACATTAAAAGAAAGAATGAATATTACTTAATAGTCCTAACAATCCTATTATTAAAGGATTCTTTTAGAATAATTTTAATAGCTCTAACAATCCTACTTATATTATAGAATTTTAATGATCTTGGAGCTTTATCAACCCTAATATCAATAAAAAAATTCTAATGATTTGACCTAAATAGCCTTAACAACCCTACTTCCTGATTAACTAAAATTATTCGAGATTTGAGGAACCTATCTCTAATAATCACCTCACCTTACCTATCATGTATATATATTTTGTATATATATTTTGTATTTCATGTATATATAATCATGTATATATATTGTCAGCGTTTTACTTTTGCGAATAATTTTCCATGTTACTTTATAATGACTTCATTTGTCTGCCTTTGTCAATAAGAATATATAGTTAATTATTGATCATGACACCTAATTCTATTATTTTATTTTCACAAATAGCATTCTTGCAATTGCATTATATATTTGAAAGCTGATAAGTCTATTTTTTATCTTTTTATACGCAACGTCCATCTCAGCGCAGTGGTTTCGCCTTTCTATCTTTATTTTATTTTGATTATATATATTTTAGTCACATGCCCTAACCGCGTGCCCTAACCGGGTGCCCTAACCACATACCCTAACCGTACTCTTCAGGTCAGTTGAATTTACCTTTCATTGATCCTGGCCACTTTCTTTCTCGATCTCTAATCAAAGATCGAAGAAGGAGGTAATTACTCCTTCTTTTGCCGGATAATTACCGGCAAAAGAGCGTGAAATATTTACGCTCATTTAGTGATAATCGTTCGATTTCATGATCGCTCGTTAAATACTGAATATAACTTTATTTTAACTGAAATAAAGCCAAATTACTACAAATTTCTATAAATTATATTTTATAATTATATTTTATAAAGTGTATAATTAATGTGTGTATATTTATCATATTACAAATTATTTAATTAATTAATCATTTGGCTTTATATTAAGTTAAAGTAAAGTTTAAAAACAATATCTACAAACAAATTCTACGATGAATGAGCTATGAATAATTAGAAAATAAGTACATATTATAAGAATAAATTAGCATCAAAAATTGATAAAATTAATAATTGTTAATGGGTGTCCTTTATTTAATAAATTAGACAAAATCTTTACAAAAAAATTTTTTCTTGATCTCTTCTTTTTTTAATTAATATTTCAATATATTTTCAATATATTTTCATAATAGATGTAAAGCATAAGTTCGAAAGAACTTATTAAAATTATTTAATTTAATTAATTTAATTTAATTATTTAATTTAATTTATTTAATGTAATCCATCCTAGCTCATCCATTTTAAGGCAACGAATTTATCTACAATCTACAATCTACATCTACATCTGCAATCTCTACACAGAGAAAAATATCATTCTACTGCCAAGAAAAGCGATTACTCAGTTTATTTTTCTTCTTTTAAGTAATAGTTTTCTTCAACAAAGAATATATTCTTGATAATAGTCTTAAAATATACTCATCACAAGTGTTAGAAAATCTCATTATCATGTACTCAAAGAAGGATTTATTTTCTCTTCAAGAATATTGTAAAGCTGTATCAAAGAAAAATCAAACTTATTTTACGTCAACTCTTGTAGTAAGCAAATCAAATTTTTGTTTTAATTTTATATTCTTGACTAAAATACTGCACTTATTAAAATTCAGAATATATTCAATTAAATTTAATGCTTGTGGTAAACTTATGATATATTTGCGGATATACAAACTTATAATATACTTAAAATAAATAATATTTACTTGAATACAGTATATATTTTTCTCTGTGTACGAATCCGTTACCTTAAAGTAAAATAAAAGTTTTTTTCACTCATCGGCACTGATGCGCAACAGCGGAGTTGTTATCGAAGCTAGTTGTCTGTAACATACAAATATAAAATTCATTTATAATAATGCTCACAAAATGCAATTAATGTTTAAAAAAATTTTTATCGTACGGAATTTTATATCCGATGTGTAAAATAATAAGCAGATAAACACGTATGGAAAAATTTTATAAATTTTCGAAACTGTTTTTTGAATAGAAAATTTTATATGACTTTCATAAAACTTTCTTTCTCTTTAATTCATTTAAATAATAAGATTAAATTATTATTCGTTTATAACAAGTTAACAATTTATAACAATTAATATATAAATAATAATATTCACCATCAGGTTGTTCCGCCGGTGCAGGATGCCTCTCCCAGGCCTCCTCCTCCTCTCATGTTGTTGACGCGCGATACTTTTAACGATACTCCCGCACTCGCGAGCGATATTTTTATATCGCTATTTTCGTTATTTTACGCACGATACTGAACGGCACTCCCGCACTATTTCGATGCGATTAAAAATTTTATATTTGATCGCGATGTATATACTTAATATGTATATACCTTTAACGGCACTCCCTAATATGTATATACCTAACGCGACGCGTTGACGAAGCGCTTACCGTCCGCGGCACGTTGACGGCAGCGAAAGGGTACTTAGCTTCCCATTCAAGCACCTTAAGATTTATCATAAATAGAAAAATTTATGATAAACCACAAGGCACCATCCAAGTACTAAGCCCTCCCACCACGACAAGGTGTACCCTATGGGAGGGTTATATTATATATAATTTTATATATAATATAATACATAATTTAAAATTTATTTTGTAATATAGTACATAAAACTCGCGTCCGCACAACTTGATAGCTGGGCTCGGACTCTCTGGCAGTCGTTATTTAACAACATCTTGACAACGCGCGCGGAAATGATCTTCTTCGACTGACTTCCCGCCGAAAGAATAGGTGGCGAATACATTCAGGGGGATGGGACGCGGGAACGTAACAATATAATAAATAATGAATGTGATGAATAATTAAAATATTAATGACTTACATCATATCTTATTAATCCATCCATCTGTTTCCAAGACCTTCTTTTTTCTATTGTTTCACTTTTTCCTCGTGGCACTCCAATCCTCGTTGCACTCATTTGAATTTCTCGTTGCACTTACACTCATTCACGAAAAGTTCCTCGTTGCATTTGCAATTGTGGTTAGAGAAAGAATTTAATAATATATGGAACGTTTCACATCACTATGTCACTGCTCGAGAGCCATTGACCGAATGATCGTAAATCAGAAATATTACCGCGGTACTGTTTACATCGCCAAGGTTGACTATGTAGAGAGAGAATTTGATAATATATGAAACGTCACTACTTTATTGTTCAATGTTACTGTGCGAATGATCGTAAGTCATAAACCTTACCGCGATACTGTTTATATCGTCAAGGCAGACTTATACTATGTTATTGTTATAATTCGTCGTTGAAATATTCTATGAGTGATTGCCGATTCAGAAAATTTAAAGCATTGGTCGAAATTTATTTAATTCTAATAAGTATCGTTAGAGAAATTATTATAATAAGTTAAAGATCATAATAAAATTAATTTCTTTATCCCCTTTTATGTTCCCTTTTTCAATTTTTATTCGCAGTAATTAATGACTGCGATTCGATAAAGATTGATCGTTGCGATACATTTTCATGACGTTTACCATAAATTAATTTATTTTTAATTATTAGTAATTATATCAAATTTTGTTTCGATATTAATCGTAATCGTGTTTAGAAAAAATATTCGACAATATGCGAAGCGTTTCGCACCACTACTTTATCGCTCGAGTGTCACTATGAGAATGATAATAAAGCCGTAACATATTAACAATAGCGCGCTATTATTTATATTGCCAAAGTCAAACACTGTGTTATCAATAATTCGAAATTTTGTTTTACATTCTTCTGGTGTCAAATTATTTACATCCAATCTTTCGTATTGAATATTTCTGATACGGACATTTTCGCGAGGTACTAATAACTCGTTTATAATAACATCCTCTACTAAATTAAAATCGAAAACAGCAATGTCTAACAAATCCTCCATTTTTATATCTTCATTTGAATTCCTTTGGTTGTATATAGCGTATATAATATATCCGTTACGCGAAAACTCTTTTTGGTTAGAGCACGCAAAGGCAAAATACGGTATTAAGTAACGTGACTTTAACGTTCATCATATCTGAAAAGACGGTATTGCAAAAACTCTCTATTAATAATAGCGCGCTATTGTTTATATTGCCAAAGTCGAACACTGTTATCGATTCGTTGCTGAAATATTTTACGTATTATACATGTACTGTTATACATAAAAATATTAAATTGAAGTTTAATAGAAGTTTTTCAATTTATAAATTAATTAAACGATTATTTATTAAACAATTAATTAACATACGAAGCATTTCCCATCGTTACTTTACTGCTCGAATGTCACCGAACAAATGATAGCAAAACCGTAACGTACAAACAATAAAACGCTATTGTTTACATCATCAAAATCGAACATAATGTTACTGATAATTCGTTG